CGCTGGCTGATCCATGCCGCGTCACCATCATCACCGTTGCCGCGCCCTTCCATACCAACCTTCGTCCTTCGCACCACCATGACCTGCGACATCACTTGAACCTGACGACGCTTCTTCATTCCTCACACTTGATCCAGAACATACATATAAGCGGCACGGCCTTTTTGAAGGAGTAAACATGATGACGCGGTGGTTGCGCCTTGCCTCGGTGCTTCCCTCTGCACTTGCTCTCACACCCAATGATCCGGCTCACCACGTAAAGCAGGTAGCAATCATAGGTGAGTCCATAACCCCCGAAAGATCTATCACAAATGCTGACTCCGAGAAGGTGCAGGTGCAGGTGGCTCATCCGCTGCATACCATCTCGCGCAATATGCCGCCGAAGCAGGCATCCCTACAAACATCACCGTCTTCGAACGCAACGACTTTGTCGGCGGCCGCACAACGACTGTGAACCCATGGAACGATCCGACGATATCCGTAGAGCTGGGCGGCAGCATCTTTGTACAGAGCAATCGAATAATGGTGAAAGCCAAGGAGGAATTCAACTTATCTACTGCTGGAGCACGAGATCTCGCAGCGCAAATGGAAATGCCTGATTTAGGCATTTGGAATGGACAGGAATTCGTCGTAGTGACGAAAGCTGGTGATACTTGGTGGGACAAGGCGAAGCTACTGTGGAGATATGGCGCTGCGCCGCTTTGGACCAACAGGCTGATGAAGAGTGCCGTGGGCAAGTTCTTCGAGATGTATGATGAACCGGTGTTTCCGTGGAAGAGCTTGAGTGACGCCGTCGAGCGTGTGGGCTTGTTGGAAGCCACTGGAGTGACAGGGGAACAGTACCTCAGGACGAATGGAATCGGGGAAGCGTTCTCCAAGGAGATTATCCAAGCCAGCACCCGGGTCAACTACGCCTCGAACTTGCCTTATATTCACGGCTTGGAGACAATGGTTTGCATGGCAACAAACGGAGCAATGCAGATTGAAGGAGGCAACTGGCAGATCTTTGCGCATATGCTGAAAACCTCTCGCGCCAATGTCCACCTCAACACTTCTGTCGCCCAGATTTCGAAGCAGCACGATGGCAGCTATGAAGTTACCGCAAGTACCGGCCACACATCGGTCTTCGACGATGTCATCCTCGCATCCCCTCTTCAGTATTCGGATCTTGTTATCCAACCCGCGCCACAGCACATTCCCGATGAGATCCCCTATGCGAAACTGTACACTACCCTGTTCGCCTCGCCCTTCCGATTGGACCCAGAAGCTTTCAACCTTGGGCCTGAGACACCTGTACCGCAATACGTCCTTACCACGCTACCCCCGTCTGAGGTCCCGGTGGATGGTGTCGGGTCGCCCAACTTCTTCAGCATATCCATATCCGATGCTGGTATCAACCCGGGATCTTCCCCACTTCGATTGGAATACATCTACAAGATCTTCTCACCTGCCCGTGTGAACGCCACCTTCCTCTCGCGCGTCCTTGGCCAACATGTCTCAAACGAGGAAGCCGAACACGGCGATGTAAATGGCACGGTGAGCTGGATACACCACAAACTGTGGTACTCATACCCACGCGAATACCCACGCGTGACATTTGAGGAGATCAAGCTAGACAATGGACTGTGGTATACCAGCGGAATCGAGAGCTTTATCAGCACCATGGAGACGAGTGCATTGAGCGGGAAAAACGTTGCTAGACTGATCAGGGATGATTGGGTTGCCCAGGGCGTTGATGACAGTTATGCGAACCCTCGGAAAGATGGCACCGACGAAGAGCTGTATCAACAGGAGCTATGAGGATTGCGTCTTCCGAACACTATGGAAAGCCACGTTGTTTGAACTTTAAAAGACTTGCATGAACATTGCTACGCGAGTCTGCCCCATCACTGATTAAGCGGTCACTTCGGCGAGGTAGCAGCACAGACGCTACGCTTCAGGCTTGTTGGTATTCGGAAGAGCGGTATTAGTCTCTTGCTCTGCATTTGGCGAAGCTACTCTTCATTCTAGCCACGTTTGACATCCTTCGGGGGATTCTTCGACACTGATTTGAGATGGCACGATCATTCCAGCCCAATCGGCTTGGATACCGTTGTGGAACATCTGGAACGCTAAGGAATTCGAGATCTCGAAGCTACGTCAACCACGTGAGATTAGCGAGGACCCGCCGTCTTGTTTAGCCCGGCGTGGAGTACTGGCCCTGGATAAATGGTTTTCGAGAGTTCCTCCCTTGACATGCCCGTCTTGCTTGATCACATCGATATCTCGCGAAGTATTAGATGCAATTCACGTTAATGCACTCTTCCCCTTCATTATGTTCATGAGCCCACTAAGCTAACAGCGAGCCATCCTATCAGACTTATATTGTGCTCGGATGTAAATGAGTCAAGGAAGCTAAGACTTCACCCGCAGTCTGACTTTCTGGCCTACGAGTGGCGTTGGCGTCAGGCCTTCTGTTCTACCCCTAGGAAGCGAACGGCGATCCCCCGGACGTGCTTCCGTCGCAGTCATTAAACTTCCGAACCCAGCACTGACCGTTGTGCATACGAAGTACGAGAGTCCTTTGGCCCCAACAGGAGCAGAGGCGTGGCTAGCCAGGACTATGGGTACAAGGTTCGATGGCGCACTTTCCAGCCCCGGCGCACTTGGGTGCGGATTCTGCGGTAAAGGGTCAATTGCACATGGGATTTCCTACTTCTCGCTGTAGTACCCAGAGCCGGGTTCGTGAGGTTGATTGTGGCCATTCTTTCTCATTTCATCATCCGTAATATTCTACCTTTTTTTTTTACTTCTCTCTTTCCTCATATCTGGTCACTTGGACGTGCAACAACCTTTTCTGGCGAGGCTAAAGCTACGACACGATACCGAGACCATGGAAGGTCACGTCCTTGCCAACGCGCTGGTGCCGCGAGTGGGACAGATAATCAGTGTCATGCTGGAGATCATTACTTTTGGTGCACTTACGGTTTGCATAAGTAGGTTTTCAACTTTTGGTGCTACTTCAAAAGAATGAGAATGCTAACAAGATGTGACAGTGCGACGAACTCAGTCCATCACGAAGTGGATGGCGCTGCCTTTGGCCACGATATGTATGTGCAACGAAACACACGCTCTCGGGGCATTTGATGCGCATCATCCTAACGAAATGGATCAGTAATCATCATCATATATTGCGACTCGGCGTTGTTCGTTTTTGCCACAGCAATTATGCTTCACGGGGTTGGCATCAATTCCTCACCGCAGGCCTGTGAAAGCGGGGTCTTCTTGTGTAAGTCTACGATACCAGATTGCGTGAACCGGCGACTAATTCTTGCACAGGTTTGCTGTGTTACATGACGACGAAGATCCTGACATACTATTTCCTTGTTGAGAAAGCTGTGAGTACAAGGCTCTTCTTTCTTCTCTTGTTCGAGCTGTTACTGATTGGATTTAGTATGTCGTTCGGGGGAGTCAAAAGCCTCGCTTGAAGACTAAGCTGTGGCTTTTCAACTGCCTATTCATGCTACGTACGTTGCGACCAACAGGTCCAGAGAACCCGCGCTGATGATGCTAAAGTGCCGTATACCGTCTTGGTTGTCTTGAATTTCGTCTAGTAAGCCGCAAATTCCCACCCTTGCATCGAGAAAGAAGATCGAGTACTGACGCATCGTAGCCGAATAAGCTACATCGATGACGAGGGCGTATGCATTATTGGCATGCAGAGGATTGCCATGCTACCCTTGATCATTTTCGAGGTCGTTGTGAACGTACATCTCCCATTTTCCTACCCTGGTTCTTTCCGACACAAATGAAACTGACCGAACTCCAGATTTGCCTGACTGCTCTCTTCGTTGTTCCCCTCCGCAGTCTCTACTCGTATCAAAACAACACAAACCCTACACTCCGTCGGATAGCCAAGCGCTCGCTCATGGGCTCCCTCGCCACCCTCACCACGTCCGTCGTCAACCTGACCGTCCTCATGATACTGCAAGGTGAACCAGCCTGGATCTGCTTCATCTGCTGCAACGCCGATATTCTGTTCTGTTCGCTGGTGCTACATTGGGTCACATCCAAAGACAAGACGATGATGACTACCGACGCAACGAGCGGTACGGGAGGCGAAAACATTGGTTCAAGACACGGTACAACATCACACCAAAGACGGCAAAGCAAGTTGATGTACGGAGAAAACACAGAAGAAAAGCTGCGCAGTGAAATCATCACCATCAAGGGCATGGCCGACGTGTCGCCGACCGGCGGCAACAGCATCAGCATCAGCAGCAGCAGAACCAACAGCGGCGCAAACTCCCGAAGACCTAGCCTCAACGTTTTCCCTTGCTCGATCAACACACACAATCCACATCACAACAACCGTCCGCAGACTTCACCACGTTTAGTGCTTTCGAGCGTCACAACGGAATGCAAATCCTCGTCCCCGCCCAGCAAATTCCGCGCCCCAAGTCGCGGCATGTACCGCACACCCACACGAGAGGAGTTTGGGGATGAGGTCGAGTTGAATAATATTAGGGTGCAGACTATTCATACGAGGGAGGTGGAGATTGATGAGGAGGGGAGGGAGCGGACGGGGAGTGTGAGGAGTGAGGGAGATGAGTGGGTTGGTCATGAGCGGAGGGTCATTGGGGACGGTGTGGTTTGATCTTAATGCATGTCACCAGTGGCAAGCTTGCCTGTATGGTTTGGACGTCATGGCTGTTTGCGTTTTGATGTTTGCGTTATGTACCTCTTCTTTGGATTTCGTGGGCGGGAGTTGGGGTGGTACGTGTATATAGTCGTACTTGATGTACTAGGTCTGTCATCGAGCTCTTATGATTCACAGAAGATAGATCATTATTTATGAGACTGCCAACGCAAAGACACTATGTTTGTATTACTAGCTATGGAAACAGCAATTAGATCATAGAATAATTAATTCCATAACATGTAAAGACCTTGATAAAAATATGCACCTTCATCATCGTCCACCAAGCATGAACACCCAATCAAACTACCACAACCTCTGCTCAGGCCGCAAATTTGACCTTCCTCTTCTTCACCCGCCCGGTTAATACTTTTTCCACACCGCGATCCAGTTCCCGTGCTAGTACCTCGTGATCGTTGACACTTTGCATGTATGCCACTGCTTCATCCGCGACCTGCAAAGAATGGTTGATGAGAGCCAGAATGCTACAGCTGAGTTCTCTAGGTGATACACGTTCTTCTGCGACCAAGCTATTGTCCTCTTCGGCTCGTGCTAGTGGGTTGTTATCGCTTTCCGTGTCGGGCGCCGCCTCCTCGAGAGATCTTGTAGATATTCTGTCTTTGTGTTTGGGGGACGCCGTGGGAGACGCTGCATGGGCGTTTGCTGTCTGAATTGATATATTGTCGTCGTCTGGTAGAGTGATCGGATTTGTAGCTTTGCCTAGCTGTGACTCGCTCATGTGAGAGCCATTCCGCGTCCTTTTGCCATGGATGATGTTCTTGGGGTCCTTGGGGTCACCGATGATGATGTTAGACAAGTCGGGAGAATCCTCCTCATGTACCCAGCCCTTCATATGCCGATTGCTTGTTGGTTTCGGGGCCGCCTTGCCCTTTATTGGAGGCTTTGTAACTTTTCGCTGGGCGTCGTTGTGAGGCGTAGCACAGACTATCTTGCTGTGGCTGGACTTTGCCATGATGATGTGCGGTGTTCAATGGAATCGATCACTGAGATATGAACTTCAATTGAGAGAGTTTAGAAAGAAGGTTTTGTGTGTAAGTCATTGTTCGTTGGTGGGTGGGTTTTGAAGATACTTGACTGTATGAGTCGAGCGAGGAGTGTGGAGCGGTACATGGGCGCATCTGGGCACGAGTCTTCCCATTGTGTGACACCAACACAACTCACGAGGCACTCTGACTGTTTACTAGCGGAACAGAAAGGATTGCATGACTGTAATAGTGTGCGCCTGTCGTCGAACCCTGCAATGAAACCCCATCCACATTTGCAACGTGCTGCACAATGGTGCCATGGTATTGTGGCATTCGTTGTCTTGTATACAAATTCCTCATTTCTTCGCGGCTGGTTTCGCAGGCGTCGATGCAGGCGCTTTCGCAGGTGGTGTCTTGGTGGCATCGGTCGGCTTTCCTGGCGGCTTGCCCTGACTACTGATAAGATCGAGAAGATGGTCTTCTGTCTGCTTGCCCTGTCCAGGAGTTAGCCAAAATGTTCGTAGTGTACTCTCTCAGCCTCCTTCTCGCTGACGTACCTTTTCGGCATCAGTCTCAGCATCCCATCCTCGTCCGAACTTTGTTCTGAAAGCCGCCAATTTTCCAGCCTCATCCTCCTCGACATTCAGTAGTTTGTGTGAACTCGGGTTCCACAGCGGAGAGTTCCGTTGGTCCTTTGCGCTCTTGTATACGGGCTGTGGGTTTGTGGTTCGTAGGGTGAAGGAGCTGCCGTCAGAGAGGGTCACGAGTTGGGTGAAGGTGTAGGGTCGCTTGGGTCGGCGGAGAAGCGTCGCGTGTCGTACTTGATTCGTCTGGCGTATTTGAGGCTGTATCGATTGTCGGAGGACGCGCAGTGCGCCCATTGAGGGTACTGGAGACGCCATAGTGACTTGTGCTGGGGTCGTGTGTTGAAGTTGGCGAGGAAAGTTGCGGCGAAGAGGCGGAGGTCAGCCTTGGCCGATCTAACATTTCCATCTTCAACCCGCGCACTTCGTCATTCGCACCCAATTGCCCTCCAACAGTCGCGTCTTCTCGAAACATAGCGCGCTCCTGCTCCTCGGCGCATGTGGTCAAGCCGGACGATTTTAATCTGAACATGGCGCTCTCGCAGCGCCCGGCTTCGCGCTTTTTCGCAGCCTTCTACAGATGGAATCAACACACTCGTTAGTGCCTTAGTGCGCATTGATACATATATACTAAATATCCTCTTAGAACGGTCAAGACCATGTGCAGTTACCTCTCAATACCCTCGTCGCGATACACATCCCTGCAACGGCATCTGCGCCCCACGCTACTATAATACGACTCGTCTGCTGCAACAACAAAGTCACTCCCCGTCGCAATCGCATGAGGAAGAAGCGATAGGAGCTGGGGAGGAGAATCCGAGGATATCAGGAAGAGGAGGGGTACAAATATTACGACCGGCAGAAAGCATATCAGAGGAGATAGCAAACACGCAGGAGCCTGTGGAAGAGCAAGATGCTTCTTTTGAGCTCTCTGAGGCGGAGCTGGGGGAAGAGCGACTCAAGAACTCGGTGCGCAGAGTGATGCGTAACGTTCCGAGCTCGGTCGCAGTTCTCACGGTCAAAAGTATCGACCCCGATACTCAAAAACACGTTCCCATGGGCGTTGCCGTTTCTTCACTTAGCACCGTCACACTCGATCCGCCTACGATTTCCTTCAACATCAAACAACCGTCCAAGACCTTAGACGCTATCCGGGCAGCCAATGGCCTTTTTCGCGTTCATTACCCCTCCGCTGACAGAGGCGGTGCGAAAGTCGTCGATCTATTTTGTAGAGGGAACCATCCGGATGCCTACAATCTGCGATCAAAGGAACTTAGACTCTATCAGCCTAATCTCGATAAGCCCAGGCATCATTATAACCCTAGTGATATGCCTTCTCTTGCGCCGCAGGTATTGGGGGAACAGGTGTTGGCTGCGATGGAGTGCAAGGTCACCCATGAATTTCCCATCGCAGATCATGTTATCCTTGTCGCCAGAATCACCAGCATAGAGCAAAGGGCTTCCAAGGATCCAAGCATCATGTATATCAATGGTGGATACCGTAACCCTGCGGGCGAAAAGCTCTACACTCCTACAAGATCCACACAATCCGCAGCCGGTGAAGGGGTTTTCTCGGTATGGGATTATTCTTTGTTTCCCGGAGAAGAAGAAAGACAGGACTACATGAGGAAAATTAAGACCCTCATCAAAGACAACCCTGCCTTTTACGAAAAGCCATCTGCCGAGACCTTTAGGAACATCGAATCGAGTTTACCGTACGCTACAGGGAATTTCGGAATTGATCTAGAGATTCTTGTCGCGGAGTGCCGAAAAGAAATGGGTCTCCCTGCGCGCTTGCGTGCCGAAGCAGAAGGACGACAAGTCTTGAGTGACTTCTACGGGCCATTGACGCCGGCAATGAGGATACAGATTGTCGATCGAGCGAAAAGGCTCGTTGCGTTGGATGCGCGCTTTCTGTCTCAACATTACCGCACTCTCCTATACAGCTTGGGCGTCAACCCTAGTAGCAGAGATCTCCTACCAAGCGACATCATGGAGCCTCTACGAGCAGCAAACTTAGCACCACCTTTCGACCCCCGCCGAGGACATGTCAATGGCGGTATCGAGGATATCATAAAAGTGGAACAGCTTGAGTTCCACCTACGAGGTTATCTTCGGAACAAGAAATACGAGGCTGCGTTGAAAATGCCCCTAGACGCGGCCATGGAAGCCATCAGTGAACGCAAATTAGCGGCTGTATATTTCAAAAAAGCACGAGCGCGCTTACTCACCCAGACCCATCCTCAACTATTCGATACTTCAGTCATCGACATCGCTGGCGAGGTGACACAAGTAGAAGCTCGTGTAGTTCTATGCCGCTTTATTAAAGCCCTACAGGTCGACTCTGAAGTGGGCCTTCGAAAGCACATCTTCCAAGACTGGCATGAGCTTTTGCGCCGAGTCGGCGTAAATCCTACCATCACGGGAGTGGATGTGGGCTTTCTTATGGGCAAGATCCAACATCTGTACTATTCGAACAAATCGTTCAGTGGGTTTTCTGGCGCCGTTGAAGAGATGCTGCGACCTTGGTTTGTTCAGCAAGTTAGCTGGGAAGACCTTGAGGAGCGCGTCAGAAGCTTTGTTCAGGAAACCCCACTGCGCGCTACAGGATGGTCAGGCAGAGACAGACTTGCCGCTATGGGCCTGCGCTGGGATGCCACAGTTGCGCTACCGAGCAACAATCCTTCTAAGCAGGCGGGTGAGAAACCGCTGAACCGAGGCGTTATTCTGGACACGCTCGTAGCAAAGGAGCTGAAGAGTTACTACGGCAGTGGCACTGAGGAAGAGAACCATGCCATCGCCAAGTACTTGAAGGAGACGTACAGCTTCGACATCACACACAGACCGATACAGTACGAACCCGCAGCGCCTACATATCAATCCTCGAGTGATGAGATGCAACAAGCTTTGAACGCAGCTCCGGTTACTGCTCGAGAAGAGGCACAATCTGAGCAGATCTTCTATACACCAGACAGCATAAGCTCTTCTCGCAGGGCAGGCGGGTCGCCAAAAGTTCGGCAGATAAAAGCAGATCGGTCGTTGAAGATTACACGGCCTACTTCAGAACCTCGTACCAAGCACGAAGGTAAAGGCAAGCAGCGCAAGGGTGGCCAAGGGTCGGCTGAGGGACGTTGGGGCACTTACTCTTTTATCGAAGGAAGGAATGAGTAACGTGTCATTGTATGTTCGGTATGTATACTAGAATTATCGTACGTAATTCAGAGGAGACGAGGAAGTCATATGCTTCAGGCCGAATTTCATCCTATTGCTTGTGTAGTACAAGGTCGTGATGTTGATGTTGATCTTGAGGGCGTGAATTTCAGAGCACGTGACTTCGGTCACGGATTAACCTTGGTCCGTGCAGCCTGAAGCTCGATCGCAATTTCCTAGTCGGAGCTTCCCCGCGAGTATCTTCGCGCCGCAGCAGCTATACCATATCCAATCGCCGATAGCATAATACCCATACAACTACTCCGAGTTATACTACTGCCCAGGTCGGAAAGCAGCAGTCATGAAGCTCGTCAGGTAGGCTAGCCCTCAACTTCTGCGAGACTTGCAACTAACGGCTTCGCGCAGGTTTCTTATGAAGTGCCAGAATGAGACGGTCACAGTCGAGCTCAAGAATGGTCAGTAAAGCCCATGCTTCCTTCTGTTTTCTACTCTCATCGCGTTGTTGTCTGGCGACAGCAGCTCTGTTGCGAGCGCGTCTTCTTATGGTTGCGCAAGCACGCTTTTACATCGAAACCTTCAGCTACTTCCTGGAAACATGATCTGACAGGAGCGCAGGCACTATCGTAAACGGCACAATCACCTCCGTCTCACCGCTCATGAATGTCGCGCTCAGAGCCGTCAAGTACACGCCCAAGTCTCGCGACACCGTAGCCCTCGACACAATGACCGTCCGCGGTTCCACAATCCGTTACATCATCCTCCCCGATTCATTACCGCTCGACACACTTCTCATCGACGACGCGCCCAAGCCCAAGAACAAGGCAAGGAAAGAGGTCGGCGGTGGTGACCGTGGTGCAAGGGGCGGTGGCCGCGGAGGAGGCCGTGGACGTGGTGGAGGTGGTCGCGGAAGAGGCGGCGGTGGCAGGGGACGCGGACGGGGTTTCTAGGTGCAGAAAAAGACAACAGAGATTGAAGGCCAAGAAGATCACCCGCAGATGCGCATCACGGCGTCGCAAGAGGGCAGGGAATTGCGCTATGAAATTTGGAAGATTGAGATTATGGATTACTGCACACGACACCAAAGTTTGACGCGCAGTAGGATCATTGTTGGATCAGCTGCACGTACAGGAACAGTCCAACATGTGTGGCGGTCAAACACAAGGGTTGGTGCAAAGGTCGCGCCTCGAGAGAAGAATGATACCACATTGAATCGCAACACTTTACGGTCTTTT